TTTGTTTAGAAATGCCTTTGTTAGCAATTACATAAAATATCTAACTAAATGCAGATCGGATCTTCTCCTTTGTATCTTTTTGTTCGATGGGCATGTTTTTTGTTGATTTGGCTTTCAACAATTTACGGTGTTTAATATCACCGTCTTTCACTTCCTAACATATGTAAGCCTATCCAAAATAAAAAAGATCCCTTTTTTCGGATTGGATGCCACATCAACGTTATTAACAGGAAATTGCATCTCTGCTCTTAATCCAACTGTCCAATTATTACCAAATTTAAAGTCTATTGGCTTGGTCAATATTATTGCTTAAAGAGATCTGCATATTATCCTATCAATAAAGAAGTATTTTGGTCACTCTCCTACACAAATAAATATCAAATATATTGTTGCTGAAATTATTTAACTCAGATAACCAAACTTTCACAACAACTAATATCCATATGAAGCAAAAAATGAATAACTTATAAGCAAACGATAACAATGATAATAACAGGAAACTATTAGCAATAAAATAATGAGCAAGTGACAAGAATTTATCTAACAGAAAATACAAATAATCAACCACATCAGAAATAACAGCGCCTTTTTCAACCTAAAATGCACCCCTCAGCTTCTTTTATGTTTCTTGTATACTTTTAACGAGTCACAAGTCATGTAACCTTTATTGTATACAGTACAAGTGAAGGTTGGCCCATTTTTGTCATGTGCTGCTATGCTTCTTTCAAATGTTTCTGTTTGTGTCTTTGCAAACTACTTTTGTATGCGAAACTTTTCTTGCATATTTTACAAATGTACGGTATTTCGCCAGTATGAGTCCTCATATGGATTTTCATAGTGTATAATCGAGAAAAAATTTTGCCGCATATTTCACAAATGCATGAACTTTCGCCAGTGTGAGTCCTCCTATGCTTCTCCAAATCGGATGACTGAATGAAACTTTTGCCGCATATTTCACAAATGTATGGTCTTTCGTCAGGTATGAGTCCTCCTATGCTTTTCCAAATCGGATGACTG